GGCGATGTATGCTTAATGTCCCATACGTGGTGGCGTTGAAAGGAAGCAAGTTCAGAGTCAATCCATTCGGATATCTCATCAATCTTTGGATAATGGGAATTAAATGTAAATCACACATTGTGACCGGTTTCCTGATCGTTAACATATGCAGGTGGAACAGTGTTACTGGTGCCGTCACCTGTCTAGGTGACACTCCATTGTTAAGATTGTTCCCCCAAATGACAGGAACGGAATGATATAAGTCCTGCGGTTTGTGTGTGGTGATTTTAACTTATCCGCAGAGCGAATCCATTTTGTTGCTTCGTCTATGGTATTCCACTCCGGGTGCTTAATTTGTGTTAAGGCTAGCTGGGATGTAGACACTGTTCTTTAGGGCACATTGACTTTAAGTGCGTACATCACACAATCGCGAATAAAAGTTTAGTTATTTATTTATGGTATAACTTGTCGAAAGCAGCTATATCGCATTCCAGGCAATCGCACCGTTTCACATCAGGCCGGTTGCATCCACACTCCTACATGAAAATTTGTAAAATAGCGGTGTGGTGTTTCAGATTATATTAGCACATCGCAGTTGGGGGTCAAAACACGATGCTCTGAACCGAAACAAACGGATATTCATCCCAGTTGTAATTCACTAACCCAACGAAACCCAGTCACAGTGGATCGATTATCTGATCATCGCTCTGAACCAGCCGTTCTCAAATTGGCTGAACGCATCAGCCGGTACTGAGATGGAATGTTGACTGTTGACCCAATCGCACGGGTCAGATGGAGGCGTAGTTCACAAGCGGATGCCTTTGCCGTCTCTAGGTTCTGATCAAACCTGATCAATTATAAGCTGAATTAACCTCAAGGATATCACGAGCGGAGCATATATTAATTAATCATTCCCTAATCATCAAATCTTTCATACCGTTGGAAATTGAAAAAGCGGCCAAGATTCGCGATTCCTTGCTCCAGTGACAATGGCTTCTGTCTGGCACCAGATTGGCAATATCACGTCGGCCTGCTTCTAGGATCAGCTTTTGCCAAGCAGCGTTGGTCAAGCTGAATTCGGAAAGCAAATGGGGATCAGCAGGTATAGATTTTCTACCCTTCTAGAATATGCGTAGGATATTCTCCATCGGGCACATTCTGTATACCACCATTACGTTTAAATACGTATTGACTTTCAATGTTCCACTGTTTCATTTTCCCATGTGACTGTTCTGTTCGCTTGTGGCAGCGGAGAATTTAGTTGCAAGCATCCATGCATTTGGCCACCAAACGCAGGATACCTCGTAAAACAGGATTCGCTTCATCATAGTTATGACAGCTGATGGTACGCGTGAGGTAACAGTAGCCTGTTTGCTTCCCTCGTCAGCTCATACTACTGAGTAAATTGGCTTATGATATTGTACTATCTTTGCTTAACATTATGAACGAAGCTCGGCGCTGACAACCAATATGATGTCTATAGTAATCTGAACTATCTTTTTCCGGGATTCGTTGTAGGAGTTGGTAAACCTTGGTGTTTAGGTGCTGAAGGTGAGCAATACACCGACAATTAAGCACCCAAACAAACGTGTTTGTCTACTGGTCAACAATGCCTTGGTTCAATTCTGCCGGGGTGTCTGGTATATACTTACCTACCGGGAGCATTCAAATGTGCTTCTAATGTATTCATGCTCAATACAATTATGATTGATCGCCTCATGATATCGTTCACAGCAGCATCCAAACTGCAAACGAAGAGTGCATGGATTAGCGCGCCAAGTAATTAACGGTACTAGCAAAATAAGATATCTTGCTCGTTAAGCTACACGTACGAATAATAATCATAATCATAATCATAATCAAGCGTAACATTGTTGTGCAAAGTAATGGAACCAGAAGAATGGGGAGAATGTATTATGATCCGTCTGTGTGTATAAGCGACTGTTCAAGTACGTTGTGGGGTAATGCATTTTGCTCGTCTAAATGTGTTTCTCTAATGCTTACTTGCACTCCACTTGATCGTACTTACAGGAACCCGGCATCCACTGCACACTAGGAATAGCTACTCACATCGCAAATGCATACCTCACCGCGTGTCCATGAGCAAATGTCTTCCGGTCATCAACTTCCTTGATGCACGTAGTCAAGTCAAAAACTATGTTCGAGAAATGCACCAGAGAATGTTGAGACGCATTTGCAGCAAGTACACCCCGAATGTTGAAGAACGGATGTTCTATGAGATCCTCACGAAAACACACTCTGGCTCATGAAATCATGTGGGACAGTAGTCTCGAAGTGCGATGTGGAAACATTTGCTCTCATTCGCGTCTTACCATCGAATGAAAATGAATGCCAATGTGGAGGAGAGTCGAAAAACGAATTGAAGCGTCGTACACATTCGAGGTGAGGATGAGAACGATTGTAGGATCAAATTGATGCGGACTAGATGAAGAGAAACCAGCGTTGTTGTTGCATCCTCCAAAACATTCGGTGAGAGCGATGGGAGTCAGGCAGGTGATACGTGTTTCAAAAGATGAATCCACGCTGAAAATACAACCGTGTCCAGGGCTGTACCCATCCTCGGAGGGAGAATAGAAATACGACACAGCTCATGCCGTAAGACTGCAAACTCCAAAACTGACGCAGTCTCTGATATTGAGTTTGTCAAGAATGCTTCCATTTTCAGTGCGGAAACTACGGCTCTATCGACATTCACGTGGCCGGCTGTGAAAGTTTCAGTGGGGACTAAGCCACCTTTGAACAACAAAGCGAAATTCGCGCTAATCATTTCGGGTCGAAAATTGAAATGGTGATTGAGTACTCAGTTGTCTTGCCAAGCCTCCTGCTCTGGGATCATTGAACCACTCGCCGAGTGTGACCAACGCATGTGGTCAGTTGCATGACACTGTGACGACTCTGCTTGAACAGGGAGTTGGAATGATGGACCGTGGGGAAGATTGGGGTAGGTTAAATGTTCTCTTATCTAGGAAATTTGGTTGAAGTATTCCCACGGTAAAATGGTTAACATGTCAGGATTTATAAGAAAACAGCATATTGGCGAATAATTTGTTCCGAGATTGGGGCCATTCATTGTCCACAAATCCACACGAAGATGTAATAATGGTGCGTTCTCAGCTGGTAAGCAATGGTTATAAACGGTTAGAACATAGTGCATTGCATTTTGAATCACTGCGATAACACAACTGCCAACAGCAAATGCCGACACAGGGCTACAAAATGCATCGACAGCACCCGCCGGTACGCATTGCCGACGCACGATGCAGCGCAACCAGCACCAGTCGCACGTAGATTGAAGCAATTGCGAGGGTCGCCCAGTCCTTGCACAGGCTCAAACCAGCTCCCACGGAGTACAAGGCAGGTTTGTATTAAAACGTACATTCTCGTAATCAACGAAAGACGCCTGAAACAATAAATGGAAACATTTTGCATTATTTTGACCTCGAATGTATGAAAATTGCGCAACAGTACAACAGCTTGGTTTTTTATTTCGGTTGCGCCTACAAGTTGATTCTCGCTTCCATGTTATATCTGCAGAATATATATAAACAAATAAATTCGTATATTTGCCAATAAGCGGGGGCGATCAGCTTTTTTGGGCGGCAAACGCACATTTATGGCCCTTAGTTGTCAGTTAATGAAAATATTTCACCTAGATGCATTTGAAAGCAGCATTCACTGTAAGAGTAGAACTAGGCACTCTGCAGTCATCTGCATTCGTCCCCACTTGATGGATCTTCACAAATCCACTTGAGAATGAAGTTACAAACGAAAAGTTCTTCTGTACCACAAACTGCTCTGAGAACAATCCAGGAAAGAGTTCGAAAATGGAAGATCTAGGCGAGTAAGTGTTCTTGGAAATACCCAGTAACTAGCTGGTGACACCACGCTATGGTGAATAGCTGCCATTTGAAATGAAATGCAAAGTGAGAATGGACCAAGCTAACTTGCAAGCGGCATCATCACAAAGGGGCGCCACACATAACCGTTCTGGATAAGGGTAAATGAGTGCTCGTGGTGATCAGTGCGCTTAAGCCAGATATTTCATCATGCGGGTTCTTGGCATACAAAACTCTTGATCCTGTGTCGGTGTCATTTCAGTATAGTCAACTTGTTTGCATTACCTGATTGATGCTGTTAGTTCTTTAGAAGCACCGGTGATTGCCCGAACCCGAAAGTATTCATGCAGTGACGCGGAGAAGTAGGAAGTTAGGGATGCGAGCCTACTGCAGCCACAAATATTCTAAAACCCAACGTGTTCGCATGAAGGAGCTGAATCGGCTGTTGCAAATCTATTGCATAGCCGATGCTGATAGGCGAATGATATGTGTTTCCGGCAGTGACAAACTGGGCACTGGTCTCGGGATTGCCCAACGAATCGGTGACCACAGGGGCAACCGCAATTTGATTGTGCAACAGAGTGGCATCGTAAGGGTGAGTCTGCATGAGCTAACTGGCATGTTGTTCGGAGTGACGCTGAAATTGAACTGGGAGATGGCTCGAGTGTGTGGGGTAATAAAAAGCAAGGTTTGACAGTGCTGCAGTTGTCGGATGAAAAGCATGGAGGTGCTGATAAACGTCAGGAGGTCCTGCGGCATGGAGATATGCAGCTAGTTGATTCCGCAGCGTGACAGTCAAGTAAGTCTCAGTTAAAACTGCATTAATCAGGTGCTGAACGAAATGAGATGGACAGCTAAGCACAGTACTATTGAAAGGGGAAGTGGACAAAATGGGTAGCTGTTGATTGGCCATGGAAGCTGTGCTGTAAAGATTACACGGTGTGCCAGCTGAGGACACCTGGGCTAAATCAACTGGCTTAGTAAAGGGAGTAGAACATGCTTGGTTCATGACAAACTGATCAAAGACGGGTGGCTGTCTAATTGGCAAGAAAGACACATGTGAGATATTTTGGTAGGTAGCGAACTTGCTCAAAGGTGTTCTTGATTGACAAGCATGGGGACCGGATAGGGATGTGTTGTAAGTAAGGACACTTGTTTTCAAGGCTTATTGATGCGTTTCATCTGGCTGTACCCCAAACCCCTGCATAACAATTCGCAATCAATGCATCACTTGGAAGCACGGTTACTCTGGATGAAACCGCGGCAGTAGTAGTGGTGTGCAGTGGGGAAATTGAGGATCGACTGCTTGAAGGCACACAACTTGAAGCAGCACTGAAGAAGAATGTAGTAATCGGTTCAGAGGCCGAAGAAACCAACTGACCGAATGGCGCCTATGGAGTCGAGGGAAGCTGGGATATTGACCATGGGCAAACAACCGTGGCAGTTAAGTTTCAAGTCACATATATAGAACTTCTAGTCTACCGTTTATTTATTTATTGATACTTCTATGCGTGTGACATGAAACTTAACTGACATTGTTGTTTACCCATGGTCAATGTCCAAGTGTCCTTCGAATCCACAGGCACCAGTCGGATGGTATTTTCGGCTTCGGAACCGATGGCTATATTTGTCTTCAGTGCCACTTCAAGTTGTGTACGTTCAAGCAGTCCATCCCCAAACTGCTCACTACTCTGTAAAAATAACTGCTGTGGATTCGTCCAGAGCAACCATACTTCCAAGCATCGCGTGGATTTTCAACCGTTTGACTCTTGCTGGCTGGTCACACGCGCAACCCACTGCTGTAGTTAGTGGGCGCCAGCCTGATGGAACGTAGCCAATTAACCCAGTGTCCCTATTGACATTGGTAGACCCCTTGAGGATATGACTACAGGAAGCTTATTCGCTTATTTGTGACAATGGGAAATTTGTTGAACCCAAGCATAAAATTACTTTAAGCAGATTGTGGATGTTACATTGCTCAATGCGATTCCGTAGTATTGGACATTAGTTGTGGAGCTCACAGTATATTGGAGCAAGAGATGCGCATAGAAGGGGAAGTGTAATAGGTGGATGCAAGAAGGGTTCTTAGAACATCGACGATTAGAACGCAGAATATGGAAGCGTGTTCGGTTTGTTCCTTTCGCTCATCACACATTTGCTCTTGAGAAAATCGTGGTTGGCATTACCGTGTAGGAGGAGGAAGAGGGAAGATGAAGTCTGTGAGTGTCGATGCCTTCCCTTTAAGCTGTGGGTGCACAAGCGCCTTCGACACCCGGAGCAGACGTCTAACATGTGTCCAAAACCTCCAAGCAAGGCCACTTTTCACAGCGTTTGCTACACGTAGTTCGTGTGCATTGATTTGGTTGTAAACATCCTAGTTGGATTTCGACTGTCCTGGACAAAGTCGATTCGAATTGCATCGACTTGTGCACTTAGTCGGCAGACGTGAACTTGTAACTTGAACAAGAGGAAACGTGTAAACGAGGCACAACTGTGGTGAGACGCGCAGTACGGAGACTGGCCAATAATTAGAGCGCTTTTACTGACTCAACCAAGACAACCGTGCTTGGCGCGCCTTCTTATGTATAGTAAGATAAAACAGAGGTGTGTAAAAGCTAATAGGAAAGGCGCAGGTTTGTTGGCACACGTGCTGCTAGGTGGTGGCCCTGTCTCTGGGCAAGAACTGGTTGGGGAAGATGTTGTTGAAATGCTGAACACATCAAAGTTGTCTAGTATGCTCGGTAGTTAAGGCATTGGCGTGAACACAGCACCTAAGACAGACTGTTGACTTGAGGAAAACCTGGCAGATATATTCGAGGCACTGGGAACAGTACAGGTTACGTTGGTCGCGTTCTCACTGAGGTAACTCCTTTGAGATCTGCTCATATGAATGGACCCTCAGCTCCAGTTTTCGTAGGGGGAGGTGCGCTCTGCATAACTACCGTGTTATTCGCGCCCGATAGTGTGCTGGCGCCGGAGAACTTCAGTGAGTTTGGTACACCTGTGCTAGCTCTGTCTCAGATTCCGATGCCCCTTAGAAGACGAGCTCACAATAGGCTTATCTAGGTAATACTCGATACGGTTACAGTGGAAGGTAGCCACAACTGCAGAGTTTTATGGTTGATGCACCACCCGTACGATGTTTTGCTATAAACTGCCTGGTATATCCGCCATACATTACACGAGGTGCGTCAGATTCCGTCTGCAATATGCCGATGTAGTAATCGGATTCCTAGTTGGAATTCATCGACCAGACCTAGATGTATATGATGAGGACAAATGGTTCTAAGCCGACACCACACATCTCCAGCTGTTCAAACTTGACAGAATTTCACGGAATGCTGTATGCCTACAATATTGTATTTTTGCATCCACTGGTTTTTTGGTTTTCATCCGTCATGCTAATTGTTGCAGCCTTCTAGATATCTATGCTCAGCCAGTGGTTTATCAGTCTCTGCATTTGCGACCGGAGGTTTGCCAAGATTACTGAGCACTCCAACTCATTTGCTTGACGGTTTGAAATGGCCGACGCGAATATCTTTGTTGCCCATAGGTGGACTTAGTCACTACGGATGCATTCATGGTAGTGAGCTAAATGTTGGTGGAGACGTCACTTTCGTGCCGATGTTGCAGATGTTCTTCAAAAGTCGATTGCATCAATTCCTTCCATTTGGATCTATTCGTGGCTGGTAATGAGATTCAGCGCAACTCTACTCCCTTTCATCGGGTAGTTGACTTGATGATCTCAATGTGTCGACCGCGAAATGACAATGTCGCGCCATCTGACACATCCGTTACGATGAAATACTGTACTGTTTCACGTCAATGGCGATGCAGTCATCCTTGCCAATCTCAGGTCTGTTGACATCAATGGACATATCCTGTGTTGTAGCAGTGTTAAGAAAAATCCGTGTGGGTGATATGTTCACAGACTGACGGAGAGTGAGAATGCCTCTATCGGATGAACTCTTCCGTTGCGGAAATGCAAAGATTGAATCCGTTGATGACGAGGTTGTTCGAAGCTCACTATGCATGTGATATGCAAAACTTAGTTGGCACAATGAGACTGATGGATTGCAGCGGAAACATCCGGAATCACATATGGGAAGGCAAGGAGAGAACTCATTGAGAGAGTACCCCGATGACACGCTCATTACCAAATTGTGTCGCTTCAGTGACGCTGATCAAAGTCTATCCTCCTGACTCGATATAGACCTAATGCATATCAGGTTTTTAAATGCAACCATACGCAAATCTGCTGATCACTGTGCATACACCCGTTGCGATGTCTACAAGTGAATTCACTCGCTAGTTGCGCAACATCACAATCCAAATTCGTGAATCATTACCACACAAACTGTAGGAACACAGAACTGCCATCAGCATTCCACTCAGCAAAACTGAAGATTGGCTGTATCGCCCAAGTGAATTTTGTGTCCACTGTGTCGAGGTGACGTGTCAGTTTGATGCTCGAACTGAAATTTGAATGTTGCACTGAGGCTTTATTAACAATGTATATCTGTATGCTTCCATGGAAGTATGAGAAAAAATGTTAAAGCATTAGAACTCTTTTGACAGTTAAGCCGTCTTCTTTATCTGATGCAAAATCATCAAACTTGTACGACTCGCAGTGACTTGGGACTAACAAATATCATTATCAGTGGGTATACGTTCTCTGAATCTGACAGTGAAGAAATGCAAATCCAACAATAAATTATATAGCTGTACTGAGCTTGATTTCACTATGGGCTTTAGCAGACGGGTGCGGATTTTGGCCACTCGCAAATCGGAGCCCAGGGGATGTGAAACTGAAATCAGGTGCGTCAAGGGAAGTTCCTACTGAGGTCCGCGTGTACTGCGTTTGGAACGCAGTTGCATCTAAGCATGAGGGAATCACTGATGTAGTTTGGAAAGGCATGATGAGATGAGCTCACATCCGACAATTGGACAGGGTGCAGGATCTGAATATCTTGCTCTCTTCTCGTGCGTCAGACCCCGCAAGTCAGGAATAGGCCTGTTGGCGAAAGTCTTTGGAACATTTCTATCTGTCCCTCATCACAGAGTTGATCACACAGTAGTAGTGCGATCCGTACTCCAGCACTGGTGTTTTGATGGAACAGAATAGACAAGTGGCCAACTCAGCAGCACAGATGCAAAGTCACATTTAAGTGCCTAGAACATACCCAGTTCAATCCCACGCAACCTGTTCGCAATGTTCGCGAAATTCAACTCGTGGCGTGAGAGTCCTTCACGGATAGTGTGGAAGGTTGCAGTTGGCCGTCGAAGACGTAGTTCTGAACCTCGCTACCCCACCATAGGCTCCTGAATGCTGTAATGGCTGCGTTGACTGCCGGATGGAGTTCTGCAGATCATACAGAGGCAGTTGTGTTGTTGCTAAGTAAACCCGAGGCTCTAGCCTTGCTAGGCATACTACGCACATTCAGGTAGTCAGAAAATATTGCCTGCGGCAACAGCAGAAGCTGTGGTGAATCATCGACGCAGATCAGGAGCGTAAGGTTCCCTGGTGCTGTGCAACGGGTTTGCAACTGATTGACGGAAACTGGTTGTCGACCTCTATTCTTCTCCACTTTCGTCCAGTAAGCAAATCGTTGATCCATTGGTGTGGCGAACTATCATCGCTGCACACACGTAGCCTGTGGGGCAGGATTCCATTCTTCATCTTGTCGAAAACTATTGAAGTCTACGCACATCAGGTCGATAGGTGTTTGCTGTTTTATTGCCTGCAACGATACATGCACCGTCATCTGCATGCTGCTAGTGTAGAAACGACCTGGCATGAGGCCGTGCTATGGAGAAGTGAGAACAATGGAGCAATGTTTTTATATGGGTGATAATGGTAATCCTTAACCGGTCCCTTGATATAGCTATGGTGAAATATCAACATATAAAAACGCTTTATCAGCAAAATTGATTCACACCGCTGAACTCACTGAGGTATACGCGATGTAAGTTGTAAATCCCTAAGGAATGACGGCAAATGCGTTGTTGATAAAAGCTTATTTCCTCCAGGTGTACACCTACAGGAAGCGGAAAAGTGGAACGAAATCTGGTATTTGACCGCCAGTGAAATCGCTTACGGACACTTGTGTTTATCCATGGGTGATGAATGAGTCATGAAGAAAATTTCTCATGCTCCTGCCGTCGGGCTCGCGGATATCATAAGGTTGTCGCTTTTTCATATCATGCGGCTCCAGCTTGATATGTGGCATTTGTACATTTGTGTTGCAGTGCATTTGCGTCATCTTCGTATTCGCACGCTCCTCTGTCGATGCTGGTTTAGAGTGCACAAATTTGAGCAACTAGTGAGTATTATGTCTAACACGGAAACGTTTACCAAATCTGTGGTATTGAGATTTGGTGAGCATTTTGAGTGCTAGACACCGGACAAAAACTGTCTCACAGCGAATTTATGGGACCTTAGAGGGAATAATGAGAGCGGTATCTGGTTCTTGGAAGCACACAGGTAAGCTGTTACGCCAGCTATTTCTGTGGCGGTTTGTAGTCAGTTCAATTGGATAACTAGGTTCCTGGCACCTAAGTAATGTGGATCCGCTTAGCCCGGGTCGCGTCGCCAACATAGCCGCAAGTAACACTAGTACGAACATAAGCTGAATACGAACAGAACACAAAGGAAATGGTTAACAAGACGGCGTGCAAAACTAATTAGGATAGAATAACCAGCTGGATTCAAGAAAGCGAATGTAAGAGCGCCGCTAGTGGTGAGCCCCGGGTAGATACTACTGCGCTCGTATTCAGTGTAGAAGTGCACTAAGCGACTCAGATTATCTCGGGCAAATAACGGACCAAACGGATGTCATTCCCAAGCAAAGCGGTTGCTTGCCTCAGGTGGGTGTGCGCCTGGAAGGAATGCGGTGCGCTTGACAAGGCTTCAAACGATAACGCAGTCACCAGGAAGTCGCTTGCATGATGAGTGTAACCGTGTTGGCCATACAAAATGCACATGAATGATCGTGACATAATAAGCAAATCGGGTCGCACATCTTAAGTTCTTACAATTGGTGCCGTGACCAACTTAGGATGCCTTTGAAGCTTCCCCGACCAGAGCCGTTTGAAGGAATTGAAGCTCAGAGGCGGCTGGAGGACCTCGAATAAGTAACGTAGGCGGTCGGAGTGAAGGAGGTTTGGGGGAAATTAGTAGCCTTATGGAGTCTCTTTAAGCACCTGGAGTAGGCAGCGCGAAGAAATCCTGTCAAGTTGAAATGGGCCGCTGCGAAGCAGGCGTTGATCACCGAAATCGATGGCAGGGACATCTACTAGCATGCATGCGGCTGTTAAAGTCTTGTCTTCACGGCCTACATCCAGGACTGCCCGGATTAGAGGAAGTGTCGAAACAACAGCTATCGGTTGAGCAGTTACTGGGTAGACTTTTCCAATCGATCGCACAACTAGTCGGGATTGTGAACGCCACAAGATGGGTTCGCGTGCATGAACCTGCCCAGATGGTCCTTGAGCTAGGCGATGCACTAATCGCGGCTTTGAAAGAGAAACATCAATGAGCTGAAGGACGTTTGGAGCGGTTCACGTAAGACGTCGGTGCACTACGTGTTCAGCGCTCGGAGAAGCGTACACGAGTATGTTGCTTCTCTTGCAGAAAGTCTGAAATACCGGAAGCGACGATGCTCAGCAAGGCGCGTGGGGCCGCCTATACAAAGTACACGCGTTCGATCTTTTTTCTCGGGTCGATTGATGCCTACTAAGGGCGATGGTGGGAATGGACCAGAAAATTTAAAGTTATTTGATTGCTACGGGTGCCGCAGTTTCCATCATGACTAATCGTAGTGGCCAAAAGCCAATCGTACTTCTGTAGTCCTTATTGCTGCTGGGGGTTATGCAGTGTGCATACATAGTGTGGCAGAACATATCGTGTGAATCGGAAGACGTATCCATCGTGTCGCCAGCCGTAGGACAGAGAACCTTGGGGGCGAATTTGCTTGATTCTAATAGACTATTGTCAACTTGTAAGGGGAAGCTATTGACTGAAAACGGACCTCTGCCGCTCATTGATCTTGGAGGAATTGACCCCGTGCACTCGGTTTTAGTGATTTTGCACGCGAACCCGGTCTCGCAGCAGGTCATCAGAAAGTGTCACTTGTTTACAGCCCGCGGAAGTCCGCATGGGTTTTGCGACTGGATGGGACACTTAATTACACAGCAAAGATTAGGGTTTAAGATACGGTTAGGTCCACTTACAGCTTCATCAATAGGCTGAGGTGAAGAGCAGATGCAGACGATGTTTGGATGAGGGTGTGATCGAAGTGGCGTTGCGCTCATACAATTCTCCACACGTTTTGATAATTGGAACCAGCGGAGAATACTGCTACCGCGTCGAATTCAGAAGGTTAAATGAAATTTCGTTGAATCGTTTCGTCCCGTTGCCGTCAGACGCAGACCCCGATAAACTGCATTACTTAACTATATTTTCGGTACTGAACCTGAGATCTTGCCATCGACATCTAGCAATCAAAGGTAAAGGTCGAGAGAAAGATGTGTTTACAGTTGAAGAGAAGCAGTAGCAGTTTATGAGGATGCGGTTTAGCTTCTCTCGTGCCCCACTCACCTTGAAGGCAATGAACGCTGCGCCGACTACATGGTTTACATAAGGTGACTATGTATGTAAATGACATCGTGATATATACTCGAATTTAAATTGTTCATTGCCTTCATGTGGACTCAAAATTATAACAAATTCGGCACTCATGATGGCTGATAATTGTTGTGCTTTTTATCAAGGGCTACTGGCTGCCTGGTGTGCACACGGTGTAGCCGTGTACTTAACGTGCCTAGATAACGGACAAATTCCCCTTCACCCTTGTTCTGTCCTCTTTTGTGAGACATCACACCACGTGCGTTGTCCGATCCGATTCATATTGAACGTGGAGTTCCACAAGTGCTAGGGCCACGTCGGTTTCACGTGTTCACTACCGAGCTTAAATATTTTGATCGCTTCGAGTTTCTTAATTTTTTTGGTGATGTTAAACCATTGGCGGGCGATCACCGAGCAAGGAGAACAGGATGCACTTCGAGGAGACCTGGGCATTAGTTATATATGATCATTGCACAATCTGCATGAGTTCGATTCACCCAATTTTAAGGTAATTCACATTTGGCATTAGCGAAACATCAAATACATGATTGGAGATCATGTCCTGCATGCAGTCAGTCAGGAGCACGACCTTGGGGTACTAATTGAGACTGATCTGGGTTGCTCAGTATAAGAGAGTGTCAAAGACTGGGAACCAATACGTTGGTATGCTGCGGAGTACATTCGGGTAGTTTGATCCGTCTGTCTGTTTGTGATTGCTGAACGCATACGTGCGGCCTCATGTGGATTACCCAATCCAGGTCTAGCAGCCGCAGCTTAAGCAAGACCTTGCAGCGCTCTGGACTGCACAGCAAGGATGCAACAAGTACGTCAAAGGATTGTTTCATCGTCCATACCAACTTATGCTCAGTACTCCAAGGGTATACAGCGGTATCGGCGCCTACATGACGACCTAATAATGCCCTACCAGATTCTGAGCAACCCCTACGACGCCTGACACTTCCTACTGCAACTTAGCAACTATACGAACCTGAGGCACTACCACGTCAAGTTGGGAAGGCAATATAGTCGGCTAAGATGTCACCGAAATATTTGGTCCCTCCTAGTGTGGTAGCCCTAGAATACTGTCTTCAATTAGCTTGTTTTTGGCCCCACATTCTCTGTCGTTGTAAAACGCCATGAACTTCCCCTAAACCATCTATATTACCAGGTATAGCCAGTGTACAACGACAGAAGGTATAGCGTGGCAAACGGAGCATTTGAGGGTTCTTATTTTGGCCTTCTCACGGGACTTGGCAACCACTTGATTTTTTACCCATTGTTCTACGGACCAGATACGAACCATATAGAATTTGACTAACGCTTTCGAAAATGGTTAGTTATAGTGGAGGTTGGTACTACAGCTGATCAGTTGTTGTTTGTGTCGGGCCACTTTGGTTGTGTCACTCATGGTTGACCTCACCACTTCTACCTCACCACTTCTTCTTAATACACTGCTTAAAGCTTTGGAACAAACTTCCAAGAGCTATCAGAACTTGTTGCACATTGCGTTTGTTTAAGCTTTCGATAAAAGATCATTTAACCGTTCAAAATGTGATAATAATGTTTCGAACAGCACAGTCCTTAGATAACGCTTTTGAGAACGGAGTTAATGGTGCCTGAAAATGCATGTGATCAAGTGCACAAGTGGTTATATTTTGTTGGCCCGCAGCACTTTATTCTCTCCTTTTTTTCATGTGCGATCAACTCTCATGTGACTGCTAAAAACTTGTCAGACGATAGAACAAGAGGAATGTAAATATTTTGGACCGCCTCGCGCTACACCAATTTTCATTTTGTGCTCACATCTTTTAAATTTATTATACCATGATATGAAACTGCTGTACCCGTTATTTTATCCGTCCCTCCTGGGAACGGCTTCTCGCGTCGTCGAGCCATATACAATTTATTTATTTATTTATTTCAACCTTCTACCTGTTGCAGCTGAGGTGGACTTGGTTTCACCCGAACCGGATCAAGGATATTGGTCTTCCTCTGATGAGGTAGATGCTGCACGCCTTTTACCATATGCCATCAGTCACCTGCACTCCAGCTCCGCGGAAGACAAGGAACCGGATCAGTCGTCCAGTACGGATGTGGAGGGTGAGGTATATGATGATATGGACGAGGAAAATGAGCTCGAGGATAGAGCAAGTGGCTCCGTCCAGGTGCAATTGGTTAGCGGCAAACACCCGCGGTCGCGCTCAAATCAACGCGTCAGCTCTAAGACGTTGCGAACTGACAGGAGCGGGATGGTCAGTTCTTCGCGTAAGAAGACCGCGTCTAACTTTAATTCGCCGCCTGCAACTGAATACTCTGCCAAAGGGAGCTCTGTTAGATTGGCTTCTGGTGGGGATAAGTCACGGTCACGGCATATAAAATGATTCCAAGCTAATTAGTAATAAATAAATAAATTGTATATTCTTTGACGATGAGAGAAGCTGTTCCCTAATAAGGACAGATCAAATAATGATACAAGTTTTCCATGACATTTCATTAATACATTTTCAGACAGAAACACGGGCGCAATTGCAAATTAGATAACAGAGTAAGCAGAATCGTTCTGCGATTTTTTTCTGCCATTGAATCAGGATTCCTCACAATCACATGACAGATATTTGGGCCGAGAGAAAAAATGTAATGAAAGGGGATGTTGTCCGAATTGTTATGTGTTTTGGAAATTTATTCAGGCACCATGGATACCGTTTTCGAATGCGTTATCTAGGGACTGTGATTTCCCGAACACATTAATCACGTTTTGGACGTTTAAATGCTTACTAATCGTCAGCTTAAAATTGCAAACTGTATAGCATGTTCTGATATCACTTGGAAGTTGGTTCCAAATCTTTGAGTATTGGGTTAGAAAGAAACGTTCTCTGATTCTTGTAGTAAATTTTGGAACCATGAATTTACCTCTTTGTTACTTATTGAATATCTGCTGTTTACAGATATGTGAACACCGTTTTCAAGACTGCGAATTCGACAATTTATGGTTCTGTAAAGAAAACATAGGTCCAGCTTCATTATCCGAAGCCAAACTGGGTCAAATCCAAGTTTATCGCATCGCTCTCTGCAAGTCGTTTGAGGATTATCCCCATAGCTTTTTCATGAAGCGTCTCTGGACCCTCTCAAAGGCGTGCTTGACAGATTTCCGCAGATTAGACTGTACCATTGAACAGTATTCCATACACGGCAATACATATGTTTTGTAAAGCGATGTGCGAGATTCCGTGTAGTAAAAATGATGGCAGATATAACCGATGGTCTTCATGGCTTTCGAAACTTGGAAGTCACAGTGTTCAGAAAAGTTAAACGTGACTGAATATCGCACGTTCAAGTCACACACTGCCCTGCATTGCGAGATATATGCGCCTTGTAGTAATAAACTGTCTGGCGGTACTTGGAATTTGTACGACAAAATATTACACTTGTCCACGGCAAATAACATCGGCCACAGTTGACACCAAGAGTCAAGGGCAGGTAGGTCATCCTGTATGTGACGTACAGCTTCCTGAGTATTTGCATGTGGTTGTAAGTAGACAACTTTAATGTCATCAGCAAAGATAAATGCAACACCATTTCTTATTTTCTGGAATACATTGTTAATATAAATTAGAAAAAGAAGTGGACCAAGAACACTCCCTTGAATCACTCCACTAGTGATTGCTTTCGGTTTAGAGAAATGGTCGCCTATGCGCACCACCTGCTGTCTACCAATTAGATATGAAGACAGCCATGAGAACATCGGTTCTCCAATGCCTATCGCCTTCAATTTGTTTAGTAACCTTCTGTGAGGCCCTCTATCAAAGGCTTTTTGCATGTCCAGGAACAAAATTACGACACTGTTTCCGTTGTCAGTGGCAGCCCTTGTGTGATTTAAAAAGTCAGTCTGGCATGTTGCGCAGGATCGACCTTGCATGAATCCGTGTTGCGAATTGCTGATAATGTTAGCTTGGTTCAAGAATATAAATAGCTCATCTTTCACTATCCTTTCCATTATTCTAGATACGATGGGTGTGTGATTGATGGGCAGCGCCATTGTTATGTCGCGGGATAACGACAGAAGTATTCCATTGAGTAGGGTATACTCCGTTGTTAAAAGAGAGTGTAAAGAGGTTGAGCAAAAGCAGAAGGAAGTCACTACCACTGCTTTTTATTAAACAAGGTGGATCCCATCAGTGCCTGCGCACGTTGAGGAGTATAACCGAGAAACTTCACCAGTAATTTTCCCTATAGTGAATTCCACTGTGTATAGACCTTCATTGTTGTGCGGCATGATAAGTGTTGGTGTGTCTGATGATTCATTGAACATTGGTTCGGTAAAATAAACACTGAAAGCTTCGCAGATATCACCTGGTGCGTCGTAGTATGTTCCATCAGGTGTGATGATAAAATTGAAGTTGTGGCTGCAACGCGAACCCCGGGCACGGAATAGTTTGGCTAGCTCAGCTGTTTTGCTAGAGCCGTTCAGAGCTTTATACTCTTCTAGAATGAGAGCTTTGTCACGTTGATGACTCTGTTCTTCGACGAGCTTCGACTGCTGTAATAATAGCACAAAGTCAGCAGTTAACCTGAATTTCTGCCTAATCTTTTGAAGCTTTCGTACTGCCTTAATCACCTTGCGATCGGATTTATGTTTAGTTTGGTAGGCACATTTTAGTGGTACTGCTGAATCGATGCAAAGGCCAATTATACTATAAAACAGGTCCGTCGCCTGTTGCGGACATGAATAGAGAAAGAATTTATCCCAATTCATAGAACGAACTAGGTCCTTTAAAGAGTCCCAGCTGACAGAACTGAACAGACGATAATGCATTGTGTTCTGTACCTCGGTCATGCGTAGTCTTAGGCGGCATTTGATCACGCGATGATGGCCCTCTTGAAATTGATTAAGGACGTTAAAAATAATTGCAGGTATGCCCAATGAAAAATGAGATCCAGAGTACTTTTGCCTCTGGTAGGTTCGGAGACGCGTTGCTGCCAAACCATTCATTTGGATACAGGAGATAAGATTTTGGTATTTCAAAGGAGCGTTTCCTAGGGTCCATGAAATAGAAGGCAGATTGAAATCACCTCCAATAATCTTTTGTAAAAATGGTAAGCCAGCGGCAAGTTCAAATGCAAGCGTCAAAAGTTCTAGTTCTTTTTGGCTGCCATTTGGCGCGTTGTATATATATCCCATAAGCAGCTGTTGCTGATTAACAGATATCGTCAGCCAGAGTGATTCCTGAACATTGTTCAACACTGAGTTATCGAATGTTGCTGCTGCGAGCGATTTTTTCAGATAAATTACACAGCCACCATCTCGACGACCAGACCGATTCCTCATAAACTTGTTATATCCGAAAATAGTTAAATGAGTGTCAGACATGCCATCAGGGCACCAAGATTCAGTTTTAAATATTATATCAGGATTATTCACCAAAACAAACGAGGGTAGTGTGTGGATCTTAGAGTAAAGAGAGCGAATGTTTCTCAGAAATACTAAGATAGATGTGAGATATGAGGAAGATACTTTAGGTCGTGTTATAAACACTGGGGTTTCAAGCCGTGTGCCTGGACCCAGGTTAGAAATTGTTGAAAAAGTGCGCGTATTTCCAACGGTGGAAAATAGTTTGGAGGTGGCCACAGCGGAGGGGGTTGAGACTGAGTATGGCCCTCTAGAAAATGGTTTGAGGGAAAGAGTCCATGATTTCTGCAATAGCCTGTGGGAGATAGAGAGTTAAGTTGTGTCCTCTGCATCATGTCGCTAATAGGCTGTTGATTACGTAACGAATTAATGGGAGTCAGTGGGTTGCTGTCATTTCTGTCTATGGGTAAAATCCGCTTAAGTGCGCTCAAAATACAAGGCTTCACTATACGTGGTAGAGGCACACTGGTGTCACTCAATACACCAACAATTACACCGTGTGTAAGCTGCAAATATGGCGGCAAGTCTTCCATAACTTTGTGACCAATGCATGTACGTTTATCCAAAAAAGACGGTTCAGATTCGCACAGTGATGCTTGAGATAAATCTACGGATATTGCGAGGAAGGATTTTGAGGTTCGCCATGAAAATATCCATGATGCGGACAACTTTGTTCCGTATTTGGGGTGAATACCCTTTCATGCTTGGCGCGAACCTAGACGGTTGTAGATGTAGTAGTAGCAGTAGTAGTAGTCTTAGTAGAAGCAGTCGTACGGTTAGTGGCATTAGGGTAGTAGTAGTAGTAGTAGTAGTAGTAATAGTAGCAATAGTAGTAGTAGCAGTAATAATAACAGCAGTAGTAGTGGCGGTACAATGGAACAATGGAACAATGGTTTATTACGGGTAAAAAAGCGTTGCTTAACAAGTCCCGTAGGATGGAAATTATTGCGAAAATCAATTGCATGATAAAGTGAAAAGCGTTGTGGTGGACTCACCATAGACTTACGCGGAATAGCGGAGATGTTCGCGTATAAAAAGTATAAATCCATAAATCCATTGGTTAGGCGTTTGGCAAGACACCGTTTGATTGCGTTTTGTAGCCCCTGGCTAACAAGTCATAAAATGAAATGTAAGTGAGACAATGCATCGTCAACACGTTTTTTAAATATCGCCAGATTGGGAGCAGAGACGACATAATTAGGGAGGGCGTTCCACGGCTGGCACACGCGGAGAAAAAAGAAATTTCTACGGCATTCATGCCGGCTATAATGAATTGTCAGTTTCAGAGGGTGACCTCTCAGTCTGGTGTTGTGGTTCAATTCCAGCAGCGGACGACAATTGTGGTTTGGGTTCTCCAGAATCTGGTAAACCATTATGAGATCATCCTGCATCAATACACCCAGGTCACGCTCCTGAGAAACCTTTGCCAAGGTGTGGTCTCCAATCTTGTAAGCGCTCACCGGCTGGTGATGCAGATGCATCACGTTGCACTTAGCTATGTTCAATTGAAGCTTGTTCCTCTTTGACCATTCGTAAATGCAATCTAAGTCATGTTGGAGCAGATCCTGATCTGGCTTGTTACCAATGGCCCGCCATATGTTAACATTATCGGCGAAAAGCAGGAAATTTGAGAAGATGACCCTTGCCAGGTCATTGATAAACACCAGGAATAAACGCGGTCCCAGCACTGAGGCTTGCGGGACACCACATTCCACCTCAATTGGATTAGAAAGTGATCCTCTAACACGTACTTGGAGCTTTCATTGGTAAAGGAAGTTGCCAATCCAACCAAGTACAGGATCTCCGATTCCGTAACTTTGTAGTCTTTGAAGTAGGATGTGGTGATCAAGGCGGTCGA